GCTTAAACGGGGATATCCAACACGATTCATCGAAAAGTACAGCAACACTTCGCGGCCAAAATTGACGGAGCAATCTGTTCCGAAAAAGCCTGTTATAATATCCTTACCCTTAAGGGGCGACAACATCTCAAATACCATCAAGCGGCGATTGAGATGCACTATTGAAAGAACTTACAACGCAGCTGAACTCATCTTCTACAGTTCTACTAAGGCTATCGAAGTTCCACGGGCGAAGGATGCCTTGCCATTGCACGCCACGTCAATTTGTGTTTACGAATTTACATGTACTTGTGAATGCAAGTACATTGGGCGAACGCAAAGGCAACTGGCAGCCAGAGCAGTTGAGCACCTACCTCAATGGCTTCTAAAGCAGGAGAACAAGACTCCACGGTCTTCCATTACAAAACATCTCCTTGATAGTGGCCATTCGGTTGACCCTAAGACGTCTTTTCGAGTATTAGTTCGAGCACGAACTACTCGGTTATTGCGCTACCTGGAGGCAGCCTATATACGGCGGGAGAAACCCGACCTATGTAAACAGTTAGACCACGTGGTCAACCTCAGCTTGCCCTGGTAGACCCGAGCCCCTTTTGAGTTTCGAAATCCCTCGGCATGCCTAGTTCCCCATTTTCATTCCCATGTTGCATTTTGCAGTTAGCATTTTATCGATTAGTCTACGCACATTACACGTTGACCTTGCTGTTTTACATCGATTTTCTCTGTCGAAATTCAAACCTTTGTACCTTTCTCACTTGTTATTTCTGTTATGCAACGACCGGCAGCAGTTGAGAGGCGGTCGAGAAATTTTGTGGTGCCATTAAATTCTGCTGTCCTTGCTTGCTTCAAATTCATTCCGGGGAAATATTCCTTCAAGATGTTGAAATATTCAACTTGCCAAGTAAAGCAGTATTTCCTCCACAATTTCTGCTACCTGCTGAATTCTTTTTAATGTTGCTATTTAGCCACCCAGGTCGTTTGTTCAGTCGTACACAAGCCAGTGGGCGGTGGTTGTTGATGAGCTGCAGAAGGACGTTCTTGGACAAATCCGTTGTACTTTGTACATATTTTGCCTACCTCGTCTAAAATTCGTATGTAAATTTATCTTTAATTTTTTTATCATTTTACCCAACAATGCCCAACATGGACTCCACGGCAAGGTGAAGCAGGCACGGCGACTGGCACGTCATTTGGATTTTAGTGATAACAGACTTCCGCAGCATCTTCTGTGCTCTCTCTTCCCCACCTGGTCTCCGTGTCAAAATATAGCCAAAATGACGTGGTCAAGAAATAAAATAAGTTATATTATTATTTTCCAGATGCGGTTGGCACAGGTGGTTAAAACAGATGGGCCCGCATCTAGGCATACCACAACACCCTCTGATCCACAACATTCACCTGATCAGGATTTTGTCAACAACAACAGTGTCGCAACCGGTCCATAAGACAAACATGCCTGGCCAGTAATGCCACGACCTCTATCTATGTATGTTTATATTTGGAGGGTTAGAGGCAGAGCTCTTGATGGCCCTATTTATGTCCAGTGCTGTCGCCGATTCGTACTCAAAAATAAAATTGCAGGCATTTGCAATGTGATCTAGTCACAGTTCAATCGTAATTATAAGGTAGTGCATATGGTTACTGTAAATTAGTGCGGAGGGCTTTTTACAAAAATGGCTGTGCATAGTCATGCTATAAAAGTCTATTTCTGTCGAAAATGAGACGAGCGAGTTTTCTCTTAAATAAACAAATTGTGTCAGCCGTCACCATCTCGCTTGAAAGCGAATTCCACGGTCGGACGAGCCGCTGGCTGAATGGAAATTTTCGACGGTCTAACCGCGTGCGCTCATTGCCGACTTTTTAGGCATGGTCGCGTAGTTGGTTTGTACGGGCAAAGTCAAAGAAGTCCTCGCCTCCTAATGATCAACCCTGGCCGCGGAAAAACCGGAACGTCCAGAGAAGACTGCAGTTTATTTGTGTATAAGAGACAGAGAATAAGCCAAGCACATTCAGCCTCTCCTGATAAGACAAATAATTTAGGCCGTCGACCATCTTTGTCGCTCTGCGTTGCACCTGTTCGAGTAAGTCGACATCCTTCCTCATCTACGGTGGAGCTGCTGGCATTTTATTCTCCAGGTGGGGTCTTACAAAGACGTCATAATGTCTTTCGATGAGTTCGGGATGGAATATTTTAAATGCACGTCTGATCCAGTGTAGAGTACTAGTTGTCTTCTGGACCATCTGGTTACTGTGTTCTGATGGTATTAGATTTGTGGTCGTCCATACACCCAGATCTTTGTGTCTTTCTACGGTTTCTAAAGTTATCCCGTTAATATAGTACTGATGTTAGGGAGAGGCATTCCAGCCGGTGTTCAGGTGCGAGACCACGCATTTGGACATATTAAACTTCAAAGCCATCCCCATTTGTAGACGTTCGACTGCACATTCTTTGCATCGTCATTGCACTTGACTTTACTCCATATTTTCATGTCGTCTGCAAACATATGAGCGGCACAATCCAGTTCGCTGATACAGTGATTAAAATAAATCAGGAAGAGAAGTGGGCCTAAAACAGAACCCTGTGGGACACTTCTTTCCATCTTTGCCCATCCCGAGGTAGACTTACCAATGACGACTCTTTGTACTGTGGAGGACAGAAAACTTCTGATCCATTTGAACACTCTCCCTTGAATTCCTATATCCCATGCCTTCTGTAAAGGAAACCTGCGTGGAACACTGTCAAAGGCCTTCTTGAAGTCAACAAATATGATATTCACTGGGCAACGTTATCGGTGGCCCTTGTCCATTTCCCGTGCGAGTAAAGAACACTCCTTAGGCAGGAGCGGCCTGGACGAAAGCCATGTCGGGAATCACACAATATTTTGTTCTGTTCTAGGTATTTCATCAAGTGTTTTTTGATAATGCGTTCTACTATTTTAAACGCGATACAAGTAAGACTGACGGTACGATATTTTCCGCAGTCAAGTCCTCAGCCTCCTTTATGGATCGGAGTAAAGAGTACGAACTTCCATCGGTAACAAAAGAGCATCTAAGGACAAAGAACCAGGTGCCAGAGAACTGCCAGGGCACATCAGACTGCGAGGGTCTTGGGTTGCTGATCATAGCATAGCAGATGATAACATTCCTTGAGGCCCAAAAGGGTGACACTCAATCCTGCATTGAGCCTGGGTCATCACCCTTCAAAGGATAAGTAGCCAGTCAATCATAGACTGAGTCACTATCGATAAAGTACACACAAACTCCTCACATGCGCGGGAGTGTCAAGGGTCACTTCAGGAAGCAGCCGAGACTGCCTGACTCTAGCCCACCAGTCCGATACTCGACACAAATGCACAACTGAGCAGACTGCGTGGACTGAGTTGAGATGTCAGTCGGCAGCCTTTCAAACCACAGCGCTTGACGCTTCGTGATAGTCTCAGACTTGAGTCACGCACGTAGCAGAAGAGCCGCATTGAGAATTAGTTGTGGAGCGCATTTCCTACTTGCGTCGGAGGAGGCAAGCGACTGCTTGCGGGTGATACTGTTGTTGTATGGCGCAGGCGCTGGTGATAGAGGGTGTAATGATGTGCTGTAATAATAATTTTTATCAAAGACCCTTCGGGGTCCCATAAAAGCAGTAAAAAAATTTACATGAGAATTTTAGACAACGTAGGCAAAATCTCAACAACATAATAATAACAATAATAATTTTATTTAATGGCAGTTTACAGGCATTGTCAGGGAAGCGTTAAACACAAAACCGGCCAGCGGTGAAAGAAACTCCTATGGAAAAGGAATAAAAGATAGTTGATGGTGGTTTTATGGTTTGGAGGGTTCAAAAGGAAAAAAAACTGCTGGCGTCAAGCTTTCGACCGTCAAGGAGAGAGAGGTTACACGGTACCGGATATTATCAGTCGCCAATTTCCTTCATGAAGTAAGGGTTAGACCAACCAGAAGCGCCAAAGAACAGCGGTCGCTGATGGCCGAATAAATTGTCCCTGGTGAGACCGGCCATAGTGGTCAGAGACCACAAACGCCATCGCTACGATACAGTCTTTCGGTGGATACAGCACCTAAAATTTGTGGAAGCTTTTCTGAATGCAAAAATCGAGTAATAGTTCTCTTAAATAAAGGAAAATTTTGCAGATTTTTCACACTCATTGGCAATTTATTCCAAATAGCAATTGCGTTTACAGAATAGAACCGATGATATTTAACAGTACGTGCCAGAGGCAGAAATAAGAAGACCTCACGGTGACTGTAACGTCGTGGGTGGATATGATGTCTTAACGAAGTGAGTGGGTTAAATGTGTGATTATATAAGAGTTTAAATAACAAAAATAGTCCCTTTTGTAATCTACGGAACCATAAAGGATCAAGGCCTGTAAGCCGGCAACGTTCTTGGTAAGACAAATGTCGGTGTTCCGCGGCTAAAATTCTCTTGGTAAAAAAGTGCTGAACGGATTCTATTTTCTTCCGCTCAGTAGCACGCATGAGGCTATATAAAAACGAACAGTATTGCAGACCAGGTCTAACGTACATGTTGTAAAGGCGCATTCTGATGTCCCTAGTTTTAAAGTTTCGGAGGATAAACCCGGTCGTTCTGCGTGCTTTGGAGACTATCAAGGCACAGTGATCCGAGAGACTGAGACTCTTGGAGTATGAAACGCCCATGTCCTTAATAACCCCAGGCACGTTTATGGCGTGACATTCAATGCTTAGTTGAGGTTGGCGGTCGTCGCCAACCACCATGACTGAGCATTTATGCCAAGAAAGAGAAAGGCGTCATATGCGGCACCACTGGGCGAAAGTCTGTAGGTCGATCTTTAGGAGTTCAGTTCAGTTCAGTTTATTGAGGGAAATAGGCGTAAGCCTTTGAGTACCCTATTTGCAACGTAAAAAATGTGTGGTGTACAGATAGATGTTCTGGGCTGAAATAGTTCGAACACGCCCATAATGGTGGGACAAAATGAGAAGGAGTTACAGGGGGTGAGCTCGACTTCTCATCGCTCTTGGTCATTTCGGAACATAAATATGTCGACATTCTTTTTAAAACTTTGTATAGATGGTGACATCACAACATATGCGGGAAGCTCATTCCATGGTTTGACCACCCGAACCGAGAAGGAGAACTTCCGCTCATCCAGCCGTGCCTGCTGAGTGCGCAGTTTTAACCGGTGACCTCGGAGGTTGGTCATGGTAGCAAATTCAAAAAAGACCTCGAAGGCCAGACTGCAATCCAACCCCTTTACAATGCGGAAGGCTTGCAAGAGATCTCCGCGAAGTTGCCTGTAACTCAAAGGAAAGAGGTTCAGATTTACTAGGCGGGTCGCATAAGGAAAGGAGCTTTGACCCCTAACCATCTTTGTGGCTCTCCTCTGGACTCTTTCGAGGCAGTTTTGATCCTCAACAGCCCACGGTCTCCAAGCTTGTATGCCGTACTCTAAATGCGGCCGGGCGAATGTTCCGAATGTCTTCGAGAAAGCATTTTCGTCAAAGTCCATAAAGGCACGCTTGATGGCGTACAGTACGGACATTGCGTTTTTTCCCACTCTCGAAAAATGGGCGGATGGCTTTAGGGAACTCGTCGTCAGCACACCGAGGTCCTTTTGGGCTTCGACCTCTTGTAGGGCTGCACCGCCCAGAAAGTAGCCTCTTGTGCTGGCGGATCTGGCTGTGTTGCCTAGGCGAAGTATGCTACATTTGGCAACGTTGAACCGCAGGAGCCAACGGTTTGACCACTGCTCCAACCGATTCAGGTTCATCTGCAGTCTGTCTTCATCGGCAGGACCCCGAATTACACTCCATATCTTCATGTCATCCGCAAACATTGCTACTTCGCAGTCTACAGTTCTTGTGGCATCGTCCACGTAGATAAGGAACAAAATGGGTCCCAGTACTGAACCCTGGGAGACACCACTATCGACCATAGCCGGATCTGATTTTCCCCGACCGACGCACACAACCTGCTGTCGACCCACAAGGAAGTTTTCGATCCATTTATGGAAGTTGCCACCGATCCCTATATTTTTCAGCTTATGTAAGAGCCTTTGGTGTGGCACAGTGTCGAAAGTCTTCTGGAAGTCGATGAAGGTTATGTGGACCGCGTGCCTGTCGTCGAGAGCTCGGGTCCAGCTCTGGAGAGATTGCAGCAGGTTTGTCGTGCAGGATCTTCCTGCTCGGAACCCATATTGGCATTTCGATAGCAGGCCGTGAACTTCCAGGAATTGCATTAGTTCACACTTTATGATCCTTTCCATAACTTTGCAGATAATGCATGTCAAGCTTATGGGCCGGTAATTTGTCGTCGCCGCCCTGTTACCTCCTTTGTGTAGCGGAGTAATATGCGCCAGCTTCCAATCGATAGGAAGTGTTCCAGTGTCAAATGACGTTTGAAAGAGCATCGACAAAGGCAAAGAGAGCTCACGGGCAAGTTTCTTCAGAAGCTTGGATGGAATCTCGTCTGGTCCTGGCGACTTCGATTCGTTCAATGCCTCTAATTCTCTTCGGACAATGCCTTCTGAGAAGAGTATATCACTGACGCTTGGAGTCGGCAGTTCTTCTGTGGAGGGAGGAAGGAACCTTGCCTCGTTTGTGTAGACTGATTGAAAAAACCGTGAAAAATACGCAGCTTTATCCCTACCATCGGCGATCTCAACGTCATCAGTAGTCTTTATCAAGGGGATTTGATGCCTGTTCCTTGTATTTCGTCGGAGGTAGCTGTAGAGCAATTTTGGGTTCTGCGTTGTTTTTTGTAGCAAGTTCTTCTCGAATTCCCGCCGCGTCTGCATTATCAGCTTCCTCAGTTTGTTCCTCTGTGTCTTGTAGGTGTTGAAGTATTCAGCTTGTCTAGTGACGCAGTATTTTCTCCACAATTTGTACTTCCAGTTGATTTCTTTCTTGCGGTTGCTATTTAGCCACCCAGGGCGTTTGTTCAGTCTTACACTTGTCAGTGGGCAGTGGTTATTGATGAGCTGCAGAAGGACATTCTTGAACAGCTCCCAGTCATCGTTGGCACTTCCCGCAAACAATGAGCCCCAGTCAAGACCGGATAAGTCTGCCCTCATCTGATTGAAGTCGCCCCGCCAAACATTACGCCTTTTGTGGTCTGGAGTGTGTGAAATGGAGAATAACGAATAATCCCACATAAGCACTACGTGGTCACTTCGGCCAAGGGGCGGCATGGAGGCGATCTCGTCTATGCTGTCTGGTGTTTTCGTAAGGACCAGATCCAGGCAGTTTGCCCTTTGTCCTTCACGTGTTCTCGTTGGGAACATGACATGTTGTGTGAGGCACGCATTTAATGTCTTGCTCAACAGGCGGTAATCGAATGCCGATTTTGGACCTGACGCTTGGAGGGTATTCCAGTTTGTTCCTGGTGCGGTGAAGTCGCCCATGATCATGATGTTAGGTCGACTGGAAAATTTCTCCAACTGCTCCAATAGTTGAGCGTCGGCGATTCGATCTGTCCTAGGTGGTCGGTAGACAGTAAGGACGTCGAGACACGGGGAACCGGTAGCCTTGATGGTCAACCAGATAGCTTCCGTACTGCACGCAAACTTGGTGGTGTGATCCGACACTGCCAGACCTTCATTCACATACACAACGATACCACCACCCTGACGATGTTCCCTGTCCCTCCGATAAATTTGGTATCCAGGCAAGGCTACTTCGTTATCACTAATATTCCCGGACAGCCAGGTCTCAGTTACTGCTAAAACATCTGGAGACAGCTCAACAAGGCAAAGTTTTAGTTCGTCTAGTTTCGATATGAGGCTTTGGGCATTCGTGTACAAGCACCTCAGTTTAGCACCAGCCGAATTTCCCGTTGCATTTGTTACTGCTGTGAGCATTACTCCGTTATCGCGGACGTCGTGTTCTCTAGGCTCTTCCGTTACCTGATTGGTTCCATTTACATGCCTTGTTTCAGTCAGATCACTGGACGCTACGGGCTCACTTGTGTTGGCGCCTTGATCAGGTGGTTCAACGAAGGTGTCTGTTTTAGCTGAGTAGCTGTCGTCGTTCGTAGTATTACAGGCTGGAACCACTGAAACGGCATATATTTCCGAACTACCTTCCCCTTGAAGATAGCCAGATTGTGTTCGCCATCCTCCAGTCTTAATTTTAACTCCAAGACAAGTTCCCGGCGTTTCAACCTTTCCGCTGGTGAATAGTCCGGTTGAAAAAAAACCTGTTTGTGTGTGTTTCTGAGATCGGTTTTTTTTGAGAGAGGATAAACTTGATTTGCTCTTTGTTCTCCAGCATAATTTTGAGAGGGCGAGGTGGTTGTGCTACTGTCCTGTCTTCACTCCTTTTTCCTATCCGGAATGCTTTCAGAACCTTTATTTCCATGTCTGCCGGCAGTAAATGATTTAGCAGACCATGAAAAGAAGCAAGGTCCTCTGAGATACGGTCTTCAGGTCTGACTGCATTTGATTCTGACAAACCCTGAATAACCAGACACTGCTGGCGAGCATGGTCCTCCTTACTCTGTCTTTCCGGTGAATGCGCTGCATGTGGGCAAGGACGGTTTACGGAGTCATCGCTTGGACGCACACTTTTACTGTCTACCGACTGTCCCGAGCAACCCATCAGGGCTGGCGGTGACTTCAGAATCCTGTCATGGCGTTTCCCTCTCCCCTCTACCCACTGGTTTATGTCTTCACATTCAGATACGTGCTCTGTAGTGCGCTCGGGATGGTTGCCAGAACAAGAGGGCAACAGTAGACTGGATGACGCAGGTATATCGTCTCCAGGCAGAACAGAAATCCCATCACTTACAGCAAGAGGCTCAGGTGAGATGGATTCCGCGATAGGGAATTTTTTTGCGACATCGCTTAAGACATCGTGCGTGGGAATCGAGTCTCCCTTTATCGGCGGCTTCGTTTTCATTGTCCTGCTGTTACCGGCGTCTGCGGTTTTGGCTGTTGAGTTGCTACTCGTGTTTGAAGATTCCCCCGAGGAGATATTTCTTCGCGTTTTTTGCGTTTTGCTCTTCGTTTTTGGGATTCTAACACTGGACACGTTCTGGCCGACTACGGTCTGTTGCACGAGCGTCCTTTAATCAGCAAGCTCCTTTTCCAGTTGTTCTACTTTGATTTGAATATCTGCGCACCCACCACAAGGTTCGTCTTCGTACCTCACACTTTTTGCGGTATTTACGCTTTTTGCACGCTTTGCTGGTCGTTAGCTGGAGGCGAAGGTAGAGCGAGCACAGGTTCTGGATGCGAAGGACAACTCACCGGACTTATCTTCCAAAGAGGTGCCGTCGCTGGCCGTACTATTACAGTTAGCCTGCTGAGAATCCATAAACTTCGACGTGATATAATAGGTATAATTCCGCTTTCGATGTTATAACGAGTACGTCGGCTTATATATGATGAATTAAAGTGAGTATTCAAAACTCAATAAGCGAAAAAATACTTAAAATCCGGTAAATTTTGTTAAATTTAATCAGAAGCGACTTAGCCCTTTCCAGATCTCGTGGGACTTGAATAACTGCAGACCTTGAAGGATTTTGAGCGATTGATTTTCTAGGCTGTATACCGTGAATCGGTTGCGTAGCCAGTTGCGTTGTCAGTTGGACCGTGCTGATAAACAAATTGCACTTAATCCAGGTTCCAGGCGAATTTCGATGCGTGAAAAAATATTCCAAAAATGCACAAAGTTATTCTGTACGTACGGTTCCAGTATCAATGTCAGAGACTGTAACTGTGGAATGGTATCCAAGTCGAAATTGTCCCAGTTGGAGCGCAGAATAATTCCGTCGTGCTCAGTTGGACTCAGTTCATGCCCGATGTCACGGTCTGCCGGCTTATATCGATATGCAACTTTGAGATCCTCGGCATACGTGAAAGGCTTACCATTCTGAAATAAATCGGATACATCATTAGCGAAAAGGCAAAATAAAAGCGGGCCGAGTACACTGCCCTGAATGACTCCACTCCTCACACGTGTGGGGTTGGAGATAATATTGGAAATCGTAACTCGTTGTGTACGAGTGCCCAGGTAAGAGGATGTAAAATTTAAAAGTTTGCCCCCAATTCCGAAAGAGGACAGTTTCAAGAGAAGAAGAGCATGGTCAACATGACCAAAGGCCTTAGTGAAATCGAAATATACTGTGTAAAATGCAAAGCCATTGTCCCTACATTGGAGGACATAGTCAAAGAAAGAGAGTTGACAGGTGTCACAAGACCGAGCTTTGAGGAATTCATACTGAGCAGCTTTCAGTAGGTTAGTCACTGTTAAGTGACACATCATCTTATCTTTGATCGATGTCTCTAAGATCTTCAAAACTGCGGGGAGGGTGTTTATTGGCCGAAAGTCATCAAATGATGTAGATTTGCCGTGCTTAGGAATGGGCAAAATGTGTGATTCCTTCCACGAGGTAGGATAAGTTTCACTTTCAAGAGCAAGATTAAATATCTTGCATAAGAGGGATGGGAAGATCGTGTTTGCATCGGCTTTTAAAATGCTTACTGGGACACCATCAGAGCCTGGATTATAAGATTGACGAAGACGCCGAATCACAGCAGTCACATCCCACAGAGTGAAAGTTTTAGTTTCTTGAACTGCCCCGGTCAGTGCCTTGATGGTCGGAAGCGGAGTGGTTGAGTCTTGAATAAACGATCTAGACAGGAAATCATTGAAGCTATCCGCGTTTAACTGGGCATCTTCTATGGGACTTCCGAAAGCGTCTCGGAGGATGGGAGGCCGCGTCTTTCTTTGAGTTCGTATTTTTCTAGAGAAAAGTTTCGAGACATTTAACGAATGGTTTTCGGTAAACTAGACCTCTTCAGCTAGCTGCATTTCTTCAGACAATCTTTTAGCCCGCTCAAAAATATCACAAATCAAGGGCAGGACAGAAACGTCGTTCTGAAGATGGAAACGACGATATAGCCTGCGCAATCTGCGACGAAAGGGTAAGGGTAGGAAAACCTCATCTCCAACATTACTTATTTTCCGACGGGAACAAAGCGGAAAATGAGGGAATCCAAAATTTCGTATAGCTTTGCAGTGCAAACATTTAGATTCGAACTAAGGACGAAATACGTCCAATCGTAGGAACTAAGGTATGTTAATAATTCGGTTGAGCGAGGTGATCGGAAATCGCGGAAAAGGCTATACTTTGGGGACGACGTTTTGGCAGCCTCAAATTCCAAGGCTTATTCGTTTATGTCATGGTCCGAGTCCCCGAGTGGGCTAAGAGATGACAAAGACGAAGGTATGCAGCCTCTACAAAAAATTAGGTCAAGTATGCTTGATCCTCGGGTGGGAAAATCGACAACCTGAGTCCACATCCCAACATCCACAGCCTCAATAAAGTCTTCGAACCTTCTGGGGCCTGAAGGCGGAGATCAGCAGACTTCGGGAAGATTAAAGTCACCCGCAACCAATTGATACTTAAAGCTTAAGTCGGCTGCAGTATGAAATGCCTGTGAGAGTAAACGATCAAAATTGTCGGTGGCGTTGGGAGGGCGATAGACTCAGCCAACGAGAACTTATTTGTTAGTACAACCTGGAGCCAGCAGTTGCCTTCTAATGCGGAAAAGTGCGGGAGGTCAAGCGGCGAAAATGGAAGTGTTTGCTTAACGTAGACGCAACTGCCCCTACGACGGCTGTCTTGGCGATCATCTCGAATGCAGTTATAGCCTAGAAGAGAGAGTTCGGAGTCAGTTACGGAGGCTGACGCCCATGTCTCAGTTACTAAAACCATAACTGGACAATGGATGAACACCAGAGTCTAAAGCAAGGGCATCTAAGTAAGCAAGGATCTGGCATTTAAAACAAAAAGGTTGAGGGAAAGGTTGTTTGTTTCTGAGGGAGGTGGGTTACGTCGTCCGGTGCTTGGCTGCCCACGGAACAAACTGTCCGGATGCACCCATCCGGTTTTGCAAAAGATTTTGTGGCATCGAAAAATTCTGAAGTGGATAAAAAGGGGTAGGACTTGGGGGAGGGAATGACGGGCAGGTAAACTGGTAACCATTGTTAGCTGACTTATTTTCAGCTGGAACTCCGCGGGTCAGATACTGCAACACATTCTCGGCGGAACAAAACTGAGGATTGGATGAGTTAACTAATCCAGTATGGACATTAGCGTGAGGAATACATTGGTTAAATGGCCGTGGTGGAAACAAGTTAAGGGGTGGGGGACACATTTTTTCTTTTGGAGTAAGAGTTCTATTTAACGGCGGGAAAATCAACATATTCGGCCTAACTGCCTCGATATGAGGGCTGGGGGCAGTTGGGAACACGCTCAGTTTTGAGTCGGGGTGTTTGAGGCACTGTTAGCCGATTATGGAGGAAAAGATTTTATAATCGTGCCGGAGTTTACGGGTGTCCGAATGGTTGAGACAGCAATTGGATTTGCCTTTGACTTAGACGCATGCTTGGGCTTACTAGGGGTTACTGTGGGAGTCGATAGAGACGTGTTTATACAAGGCATGCTGGTGTGTTTAAAGATCTCAGCATTAAGAGAAGTCGAATTTCCTACGGAATTGACTACGCCGTGACGCGCAGAGGCCGCAGATGGTGTTGTAGAGGACTTATTTAATCTGACAGTAGGTGTCATTACCTTGGTGTTGGTTTTTGCCGATTTTAATTTATTCAGTCTTCGCTGCAGGGGTGTAAGGCCTGGCGAAACGGAGCTGCGCCATTTACGGCAGAATTCTCTAGTTATCGCCCTCCTCGACAATATAAAATCGACTTCTATCATGGAGAAAAGGGTAACTAGTATCGGCGCATTACGGCTAAGCAAGCGCAGTCGGTTAGCTTGTGCGACAATGAAACTCAAGCCACAACTTGGTAGGAACAAATGCGCTCCCTCTAAAGCAGATAAGTGGCTCGGAATGTTTCGCAGTACGAAATTATGCTTGCGTTTAAGTTTTTCCTCAGTTTCCGAACTTATTATAAGTTTAAAAGCTTGTTTAATTGCTTTTTCAGAAGTACTGTTTATGTCACCATATATCAACTGATCAACTATTTCGTCAGCTGATGGCCTGCTACGACTAGCAGAGGCGTATATCTGGACGATCGAAGTGTCAAGAGGTCCTACGTGTACTAAAGGGGTTTGTGAGTTAATCATATCTGCAGAAGACGAAGAACATATGCTGGCACCTGCTATGTCTTTAGTCACGATTCTAGCACCCAGAGACAGTGGGGAGGCCGCATGCTTTCGTGTTTTAGCACTTGCTCTGCGGGTCATTACAGAAAAGAAAAACTTTTCGTTACAGTAGAAGGATCAAAACGTTGCTAACGTACAGAAAAGCGCACTGGATAGCAAGTACTACTGTTATTTAACAACGAAGACTAGAAAGAGATAGTCTGGAAGGGTGTCAAAACAAAGGGTTTTTTTACAAAATACGAATATTTTGCCAGATGTAAAGAAGATGAAGACCCGATCTCTGGGACAGTGGGTTTATTAGTCTGAGCTTTCGGTCTCTTACAGAAGGTCATCGTCAGAGACTGTGAGAAGGCAACATCAAATGAGTGGTTTTTGTAGTCACGCCATGAAGGGGGGGGGGAGATATGAGTGCAGAGGGTGGTATTCGCGATAAGTTGCGTCCCACGCCGTCTCACGTTGGCGTGACTGCGTGCACCCTTGGCTGGAAATTGGGTCTCGCCCCTTGGCCGCGGGAACGGAGCGCGTGATAGCAGGGGGGTATATCAACGTGCCTGTTGATAGCGTTGTTGTCAGACACCCAGGCCTCTAACAGTTCTCTTTCTGTCTTATTGCCGGCCCGCGCCACTATCCGCGTGCTCGCAAAGTTGAATTCGTGGCCTTCCTCCAGGGTGTGAGTGGCGACCTGAGACAACGGGTCGCCTCTCCGGACCACCAGTTTGTGCTCCGTTATTCGTGAGCTAAGTCGTCGTCCGGTTTGTCCAGTGTAGTGGCGAGGGCAGTCCCGACATGGGATCTGATAGACGACGCCCGATTGTTCACCCACGTCTAGGCGATCCTTCACTTGCATGATTTTGCTGCGCATGGTCGCTGTCGGACGGTGAGCGATACCCACGCCGAGCTCTCCAGCGATACGTTCCATCGCTTCGGATACGTTCTTTATATATGGCAGAGGGTACCAGAGTGTTGGTGGCTCTCCTCCGTTTGTTCGCCGTGGGCGCGTGCGGAGGCAGCGGCTGACGAAGCTGTTCGGGTATCCATTCCTTGCCAGTTGGTCCCGAAGATGCCGAAGTTCTCGTACTCGTCCCTCTGGTTCACTGCAGTGCGTTTTTACCCTCTGGAAGAGTGTCCTAACACAGCTGCGTTTATGCGCCATTGGGTGGTTGCTGTGGTAGTTGAGAATCTGAGTCTTGTTAGTCGCCTTTCTGTACACCGTGGTGTTGAGTTCGCCGTTGGGTGTGCGTGTGACGAGAACGTCAAGGAAAGGCAGCTGTTCGGCATGCTCTTCTTCCCTTGTGAACTGGATGTCTGGGAAGATGCCGTTGAGCAGGTCTTGGAAGTCGGCCAGTCTGCTCCTTTCAATTATGACGAACGTGTCGTCCACGTACCGGCGCCAAAATGCAGGTTCATAGTGGTCGAAGGCGACTTTTTCCAGTTCCTGCAGGACTAGTTCTGCAACCAGGCTGGATATTGGCGAACCCATCGGCGTTCCTTTGATCTGCTCGTATGTTCTGCCATTGAAAGTGAAGAAGGTTTGTTGGCAGAAAGCAAACAGTTGCAGTAAGTGGTCGATTTTTAGGGGTTTGTTCGTCTCGTCGTAATTATCTTCGAGTCGTTTGCGAAGAACGTCGCGTGCCAGGTCCGGTGGGATGGACGTAAATAATGAAACCACGTCAAAGGACACCATGATCTGCTCCGGTCGGACAACTTTTCCTCGGAGATCGGCCAGGAATTGGGAGGCCGAATTGATGGAGGTCCTTGAGCCTTCTCGGAGAAAGTTAAGTTTTCGGGCCATCCACTTGGATAGATTGTAAGTGGGGCTGCCTTTCAAGGCAACGATTGGTCGAAGGGGAACATTGGGCTTGTGGATTTTGGGTAATCTATAAAACCGGGCCAGTGCCGTGTCCGTTGGTTTCATCTGTCGTCATTCGTCCAGCGATATAGCACTGTTTCGCTTGAGTCGGCTCAGGAGTCCAGTTACTTGACCAATCATCGATTTGGCTCGCGAGGGAGGCGTGGACTTGTAGGACTGTTGGTCGTCTAGGAGGGCTTGTGCCTTTTCGTTGTAGTCAACGCGGTTCATCACGACGGTTGCTCTTCCTTTGTCGGCTGGAAGCACTATTATATTTCTGTCCATTTTTAATTCCTTCATTGCTTCTATTTCTGCGGGCGACATATTATTGATGGGCCTGTTCGTCAGCAGTAGGGAGGTGACTTTTTGCCAGATTGTGAAACAAAAATTGGAACAAGATATGCCTTGTAAACAAGGTACTATGCAAACAAACCTGCGTTAATTGCTCAAGAATATCCAAGAAAATGCAAAGCGTCACTTATCTTTGAAACTGAGTTGTAATTCATGGTTTCTGAATTAGTAGTTCGTTAAGAAAAATGATTAACGAGAGGTGGAAAAAACTCCACATAAAAATTTAAAAATGATTGGGTTGGTTTTAGCCGGCGGTTATCTAGTGCGGGTGTTCATGGATGCGCGTGTGATCTAATAAGCCCATGCGTTGGCTGAATGTGCGAGAGCAGTGAAGGAAGTTGAAGCGGATGCGGCGAGTGCAGGTTGGTGGTCTAGGAACTGGTTTGCCAGCCCCTGTGCAATGGATTCGCAGGCGACTGACCAAGCGGATGTGTGAGGGGAATCTGCGGGGACAGTGTGGGCAGGATAGGTCGGGTGTGTCAATGCCTGCTTCGATAGTGATGGTGGCGGTGGGCGGGTGGAACGATAAGGTGGTGATTGATTTAGGAATTTTAGGTGTGCAAGATGTGATAAGTGTGTCGATCTTGCGGGTTTTTCCGCATTCGTGGATGCGCACTTGACCTAATAGACCCATTCCGTGGCTAAATGTGCGAGGGCAGCGGGGAAAGTTTAGACGGACGCAGCGAGTGCAGACTGGAGCTCCAGGCACTAAGTCGCCTGCCTCCGTGCGATGGATCCTTTGGTAACCGACCAGGCCAATTTGTGAAGTGAATGTGCGACCGCAGTGAAAACAGGTCTTCTCAGTTGACGGGGTTGATCTGCAGGCGCATCATGGAAGTCTTCGGAGTGCCCCTGTAGAGCCTGACTTGACCTCCTTGTCGACGAGAGCCCGTGGTGACATCTCCATAGAATAGCATTTTTGGTAGCTCCTCGTCATCCATCCTCACGAGATGGCCGATCCAGTGCAGCTGCAATTGTCTTAGTATGACGTGGATACTAAGGATTCCCATCTGTTCCGGTACGTCCGTGTCCGGGATCCGATCCCGTCACCTCAGCTATACTATCCGTCAAAGACAGCTGCGGTGGAATTGGTTAGGTCTTTGTGCGTGCCTCTTGTATACCATGCATGTCTGCATTCCATACAGCACTGTTTGCAGGATGACCGCTGTAAATATCTTAAGTGTGATGCTGATATGGAGACTGCGTCTATTGCAGACGGTGTTTCACAGACGGCCAAAGGCTTGGCTAGCCTTGGGATTCCGGCAGGCCACTTCATCGTGGATTTTGGTGCTGCGAGAATGGGTGTTGTCCAGGATCACGAACGTGTCCACAGCTTGCAGATGGACGCCAATAACGTTAATGTGTGGTGAAGTGTAGGCAGCGTTGGGTGGCGGCTGGCGCATAACCAACACCTTCTCCGCGTTAAGGAGTAGGCCAAAGTTGTCATAGGCGGCGGCGAAAAGGTCAGTGCGTCTTTGCATGTTCTCTTCAGCAGTTGTGTTGAGGACTCAGTCGTCGGCGAAGTGAAGTCCATGAACAGTAGTTGTAGATTTATGGGACTGGAAGTGCATCGCCGCTGATTGAAGAGTTGACCGTCTGTCATGTAGGCGACGCGGATCCCGGGGCGTTTGTCACAATCGGCGTTCATTAGCATAACAGAGAACATGATGCTGAAGAGCGTAGACGTGTGGACTCAGCCCTGCTTCACTTCGTTGGTCACTGTGAATGCCCCTGAGACGGTTCAATTATCCGTGACGTACCGTCATGCCATCGTGGAGTTGACACACCATCGAAGTAAATCGCTCAGGATAGCCTAATTCCTGCATGATTTTCTACAGTCTTTCGCGATCTTTTTGTCAAAGGCTTTCGTAAGACCCAGGAAGGCAGAGTATAGACGGGTGCGCTTCACCTGACACCTATCCTGCAGTTGGCGGGCGGCGAACGTCATGTCGGGGGTGCCGCAATGACGGTGGAAACCGCAGTGACTTTCCGACAGAAGTCCCTGTTCCAGATGGATGTTGGGGCGATTAAGGAGAAGGTGAGCAAAGGCCTTTCCGGTGATTTTGAGGCACTTAAGCACGATTTTAGTAGTTTTAAAGTCACGAATATTGCCCCTTTCATGAAACTTAGAGAATTCTGATTTCGGCCTGAATTTGAGTTAACTGCGAGGTGACCAAACTGGATGTCTGCTTTTTGCCGATTGCCAGTTTTTTGACCAGTTGGTTAAATCAGATCATATCGTCTATTTGTGTTTCTCGGATGGTTCATAATAGTTACCTGAGATAGCAACCGATAAAGAGAAATACGTAATAAGTGCAAAGAGCTTTCGGTGCCCAAGTGGCGCTATAACAAACCTTTTCTATTCTATTCGCTAACCTTCGTTCTAAAAACAGCGTTTATTCGGGATTAAGTAGGCTGTTTCCAGCACTCTGTCTATGAGTGGTGGGTTGTTCTCATAATGCAGGATAATTTCCGCGTAAGCATTTTATGGTTTCACTGATGTGTGGAATGACCGGTCAGTGATTCCCTGTTCTAGAACATCGAGAAATTGAAGTTTGCAGTTAGTGTCTTCTTCGAGTGTGAAGGGGATTTCTGGCAGTGCTGAGTTGATAATGATTTGCAGTGTTCCTAGGTGGTACTTTTTGATTATATCAATGGTGTCATCTACATAGCGACCCCAAAATTTGGGGTTAAATAATGGTAGGGCTATAGTGCCTAATACATGAGTAGGAGATATTGGGATGTTCGTTATCTAAAAGTTTTTTAGAAAAACGTCTTTGGAAATTTTCAATTTTTAAACGACTAGGTTCATCCATCAAACCAAAGAATGGGCAACAATACTCGAGAATGGGAAGTACAAACATACGATAGAGCCTTAATTCCAGGAGGATATAAATTGTAAGAAATAAAGCCACAAATCTCGGCAGCTTTGGCTGTAATTCTGTCAGCGTGTGGCGGGAGATCAAGATTACTAGTGTAGCTTAAACCTAAATCTTTGATGGTGGTACATTCAGTCATAGGTGTGTCTTGAAAGACCACTGGTTGGGGTAGCCTATCAGGTCCAAAACACATATAGCGACATTTAGACACAGAGAATTCCATTAGCCACTTTGAGCTCCAAGCTGAGAGAGCAAGCAAGTGAGCATGGATTTGCTTCAGGCAATAAAGGCTCGTAGATTTTTTTGAAAGAATATACGCATTTGAAATCATCGGCATAAATAAATGATTGAGAATGTTTAACTGCTGCCGAAATATCATTTATGTAAAACAAGAACAAAAGAGGACCTAAAACGGTATCTTGTAGGACACCACTTATAATAGGGCTTTCACTGGAAAGTGAAGATCCCACCAAAACCTTTTGTTTACGATTAGACTGGTATGACCTGAGAAAGTCTATTAGTGGACTACGAATACCCAAAGCTTCCAATTTAACCAAGAGTCTTTCATGTGGTACTTTATCAAAGGCTTTACTAAGATCCAAATAAATAACGACAACAGATAGATGGTCGTTACGAGGATAGGTAAGTAGATTGAGAAACGACAGATGACATGTTTCACAAGAGCGATCTGGTAAAAAACCATGCTAGGAAGGGCTAATAACTTGATTGGCTATGCAAAAGTCGGTAATTTTTACGGCGAAAAGTTTTTCAAATTTTTTTGGCGAGGGTGTTTTATGGACACCTCGATAGTTCTGTACGTCATAACGACAGCCAGAATTAAATGCTGGAATAATAATAGAAGTTTTCCAATAGTCAGGGAAGAAGCCATTTACGAGAAATACTGAAAAGATTTTGCTAAGCAGAGGAGGAAAATCTCTTAGCAGTTTTATAAAAGAGTTTGGGATATTGTCAGTACATTCTGAGTGAGAGTTAGGAAGGTGGCTTATCAGTTTTTGAATACATTCAGGAGAAAAATTAATGATGCTAAGAGAAGCATCAGACAACGGAGGAACTAAAGGGATTGGGTCAGTTTCAATGATGAAATGTTTGACAAAGAACGAATTTAAAATCTCTGCTTTGCCTGACTCCTCTGTAATGAAGGCATCGCTAGTACTAGGCAAAGGCGGAATGACTTGGTGGGACTTAGCAGATGATCTTTGACGGAAGATCTGAGCAACTGATTTAGAAGCATTCACGTCATTAATAGCTAAAGACTCTGTACGCCTTTCTCGCGCGAGCCTCATTTTGGAAGCCAGTTCAAATATTTCAACGATTCTTAGATGAACTGATAATGAGCTCACAGAAGGATCGTTAAACTGCTTCCGTAACTTTTTAAGTCTGTTTTTAAGAAAGTGTGGGACAGCGGTGAAATTAGCACTCGATTTGAACATCTTCCGAGGAATAAGGTCAAGAAGACCTTCTGTTACGCATTGTAATAAATTGTTGAAAAAATTTATATCATTATTTGAAAAACCATTGTGCCAATCAAGAGTGCATGTAAAGTTATTAACTAATTCCTTGTTAACATTAGTAAAGTCAAAAGTACTACGTTGTACTGTTGGCCTTGCGGAAATCGCAACTGGAAGGCGACAATGGATTAATGCAAAAAGGTCATGATAGAAATCCATAAATAAAGGGAAGGTGTCATTAGTAAAAATTAAGTCTAAAACACTATCGTTTCTGGTCGAAGAGTGAACTAATTGAGATAAGTTTGAAAAGTAAGTGGTGCCAAGCAGCTTCTGGAATTTGAGAGGAGAACTATGTGTGTGCCAGTCAATTTCTGGCAAATTAAAATCGCCTACGATAATCCTGACATCGAAAGGAGTCTCTGCAATTTTTTCAAAGAGTTCACAGAATTGGCTTTAATTTCCGGAGGAACAAGGAGGAGTATATACACATCCGACTAACGCTTTCCTATTTTGCGGAAGGATTACCGAAGCAAAACATAAATTTACAGTGAAGGAGGAAATGTTCAAGTCATAAGACGATTGTGCAAGTGAGGCTCTTACGTAAAGAAGACATCCACCGTCGCGTCTTTCGGCACGATCCTGGCGACATAAACTGAGGCTATCTATATTAAGTGCCGAGTCTGAAATTAGAGAGTGAGCCCAAGATTCTGTAGTGTACAATACGTCTGTGTCAAACTCAGCATCTACACTTCTTAGGTGTGCCAACTTTTGCACGACAGATCTTGCGTTGTGAGAGACGATACTGAGCGTATACCTAATATGTCGGTTCCGCTCATTGCTACTCATAAAAAAGGGAGAGCCGGAGGTGGAAAATTAAGCTGCTGGAACGAAGCAATTGGTGGAGGACAAAGTTGCTGCGGTCTAAAATTTGTCGGGTAATTACTAACTAGAGATGTAGCATTGGGTAGAAAAACATTTGAGGAGGACTCAGGAAGAGGAAAGCTAATTTCTTGGGTTGGAAAAATCGGAGGCATGAAAATAGGATTTTGGGAATTGTTAGCATAATATGAGGGGTAGTTTATGTTAGGTAGCGGACGTAATGGCTTCGTATATACTTGCATTTTGCAGCCCGGTTTGTAAAAGGGCTTCACAACTGGGACGTTAAGTTGAGAATTCAGGATAGGAACAGGTAAATATCTCCCTGAACTATCATCTAGCTTATTGGACCTAACCACGAGGTCAGACCTGAGTGGCCAGGCGTGGGAACGGGGTGGATTCGATGTAAGTTTATTTACTAAATCACTATGCTGAGTGCTGGGAGTCGGTTGTGCTTCAAGGACTGGCTCATCTTTACTGTTAAGGTCAAGCTCCCTAGTAAATTTGGGAGCCGCATTTGAAAAATCCTTGCTTCGTGGGGGAGTTTTAAAGAGGCTAGTTTCAACTGTCTCTGTGATAATGTGATCAGTCGAAGAGCTAGATGGAACTGGGGCCGCTGTAGATAGTGGGGAGATTTGGTCGACACCAGATGGAGAAACTGCTTTAGAGGCAAAAGGCATATGAGTAGAATTCGGGGGTGGCTTTACGTTTGTTAACGGGGGAGAAACTCATCGTTGCAGTGGAGTTTGATCTCGACTAATAAAAAGTATATTTCCCCTGAGAAATTGAGTCGAGCGCTCCAAATGGGAGAAAATAAAATCCACTTCTATCGACGAAAAGAGTTTGACAAGAATTGGTGGATTCTTGCTCCTAGATGAAAGCCTTTTAGATTCAGCGACCATAAAGTTGAAGCCGCATGAATAAAGGAAATGAAATGCGACATCTATTGGTTGTCTACTCTTAGGAACGTTTTTTAATACAAAATTGAAACTTCATTTGTGCCTGTCTTCGGTCTCAGTAGCAACCAGGTTAATGAGAGGCATGAGCTTTTCACACTGCTGAGACGTAAGTGTTGGCAACTTCCCGTCAAGAAGGGCACCAAGAACAGAAAAGATTGATCCGTAACTAGACATAAAATTGTTAAAATCATCAAGCGCCCCTAGATCAATTTTTTCATATGAACAATGGGTTTTAGCTGAAGCTTAGTTTCCTTCAGATTTCGACGAAGAGTTGCCTGAGGTTTCATGTCGAAAAAGC